AAATTTTTAATTTAGTATTAAATATTTCGAATATTATATATAGTTCTTGATTTTTTTAATCAAAAAACTTTCATCATAATATTTACAATTTGTTGTTTTTTATTTAGATAATTTGTCATATTCGTATTCGCTTAAAACAAACAATTTATTTATCATTAAATGCAAAAGAGAGCTCTATATAAGATAATATATCGAGTTGGTTTCCAGCTTCCCTTTACAAAAATTTGAAAACAAGAATTATGTCTAGAACTATAAAAGTTTTTTTCAGTTAGCTTTTATTGTCTTTCAGGTAGCTTTGTTATTTCCTCGTTAAATAATAAATAATATATTTATTATTAAATATTAAATAATAAATAAATTTAATAATAAATAATTAAATTAGTCATGTTTAATAAAAATTTATTGAAGGAAAGAAAAAGACTAGTCGTTCGAGTAAAAAAATGAAATACCTGATAAAAGAAATGAAAATTTTAGAGAACAATGGTTGTTCATAAATTCTCAAAACTGACTTGCATCGACATAACAGAATTTAGGAAAGTAATTATAAATGTACTTAATACATCACAAATCAACAATCAATACAAGTTGAATCTGGAAGGTTTCATATCGAATTTTCAATTCTTTTTGCTCCTTCACGCGCCTACGCGCTCTATCTCCTCTTACATGACTGCAAGTTTCCTAATATAGTCTCGGCATATGCTTCGATGAAAAAGACGATGTTGTTAACCACTGAGCGCTTGGCAAACTGGTTGCCATCTCGTATCCGGAAAAGACAGACGAACTACGTGTGTAATGTTAAAATCACGAGGACACTGACGATCTTTGGAGAAGACGCTAATAATCTCGGCGAAAATAAATTATCCATAAATCGCGTGCAGCAGAGTATGCACTTCAGATGTGATTCATGTGATCGTTAATGTTGTTGCATTAATATGAATATTGTAGTCATCTGAATGTAGTCTCTTTATAATCTACAATAGCGATATATAGTTTTGATGAGTTAAAAATTTTATTTTAACGTTTATTTATTGGCAAATTTGCCAATTCGTTAATTTGCAATCAATATTATGGTAATACCTTGTACGGTAAAATCAAAAGCGCGCATATGATCCAAAGTGTACGCTCAATAATATTACTGCACCCGCGATTCATGAATAAACGTCCATCTAAAAATAGCATACGATTGGTCAATTTATAATCTTTAGATCTCAAAAACTACTGCTTAAAATAAAAATTTACAAATAAACTTTTTATTTAATTTTTCGAAAACTTTCTTGCTATAGTATTTTGAATCATGAATTTTGGACACAATTTTGTGTGTATGGGCGCATAATTTTTTTCTAATTTAATTCGAGAAAAAGATATAAAACTTGGTCTTATATAAAATCATAAAGCTGACGAAATTAATTTTTTCAAGCACGGTATGTTACATGTATCATAATTTCTATTAATAATGTCCGAATTTAAATTTCTTTTCATTCTCTTTCAAATTTACACTGAGAGAAAACAAAATTTGGCAATTAAATTTATGACAATTATGAAATTTAAATACCTATAACTAGTTTTCCAAAGTATTTATTATAAATACAAAAGTAGTATTAAATACAATAAAAATATAGTCACGGTAACAATATATGTGAATTATTAAATGATAATAAAATAGCGACTCAACTATAAATTACATAATTATACAGACTTCATTCACAAATAGAACATTACATTTTTTCAGTTTAGACAAATATTTTTGTGAAGTAAACCTAATATTACAATATCATTGAGATAAGTTTAAAAAATATATACTGCAACGACGGCATACAATATATTAGTTTATCTAACGATTTATTATAAATGATTAATATTAATATATTTTCTTGAGTCATATAATTTTTAATATTGATTGTTTTTATTACAACTTTATTATATACAGCTGAGGTGCTAGTATACAAATTTCTAATCGCTGGTACGACTGTTTTCTCTGAGTGTAAAGATATATAATGACTTAATATAACGCTTTTCATAATGAATTACAATTTTTATCAGACCTGTTCTTTATTTTTCGTTCCTTTCTTTTAACAAGATTAACGGATATTTTTTCACAGAAAGAAAGAAATAACTAAAACGACTAATGATGATGCAGTGAAAATTATTTCCCGTTTCTTTATTTTTACACAATTCTTTTCGTGTTAGAAGAACTAAATCGCGTCCGCTGCAAAGCGCGAAGCGAGTAAACAGGATCGGGTAGATTCCGTCGTTTCTATAGGAGCCAGTTAAGCGAAGGAAGACGGGTTCGAGGTGGTCTAAGGACAGGTTCGCTCGCGAAAAACTTCGTTCAATTCGTCTCGCGTGGGTCTGTACCGCACCGCAGAATCTGCTTGCGAATTAAACTTGTACACAACGACAATTTTATTTCGCAAAATGCCAATCGAAACAATCAGAACTAATCCTTAGTCTCTTTCGTATAAGACTCATCCAATTAATACGAGCGATTGTGCAATTGGTATAACTAACGACATTCCCGCTCGTTACTTTGACGTTACTTGACGCAGATAGAGCAGTTCTTTCATCGGACGCGCGATTTCAAGAACGACTTCATGAATGAATCGTACCGCGATCTCGACAAAACTTCTCCTTCTTTTCCATTTAGCTGCCATCTTCCTTAGTGCTCAAACTGGTCTATACACAATGTAGATGGAATATCCAATTATTTCTAAGCACTCTGCGATCGTCGTTTTAACGTCAGAGAAAAAGAACGCCATCGGATGCTCGACGGGAGTTATAATTCAAAGAAAATTAAAATGATGATTGGATTAATAGGAAGAATAAATTAGAAATCCATCGTGTTCTAATTTGCACATATTTAAATACAGAAATATCGACGTAGTAAAAGTCATTAAGTCTTTTTCAAGATTTTTCATCAATTTAAGATTGACTTTTCCCAACAAAAATGCGTTCTTTGACGCATGTAATTGTTTAAAAATATGAAAATGTCTAGTATTAATCCAATATTATGAATTCTATCGTTTTTCAAATACTTTTTATCGTATTGCGCTCGACATATATATATCAGCTGGTTCAAGTTTCTTTCCATTGCCGACAGCTGCGACGAAAACGAAAAATCTGACTCGAAATGGACATGAGTAAGAACTCCGCAAATGAAAGAGCGGCATACTGGATGAAAGGATGAAAGATAAAAGAAGGAAACAGAAATCACGAGTGGACAAGTAACTGACCGGATGTTAGACGTGTATACGCAAGAAGTGTACGATTATCTCACGAACATATTTTTTCGTTACGATTTATTTGTCAATTATATTTAAAAAAATCCATGAAAGAGATTTTCAGATTTATTAAATTAGTCAAAACATTATTGTTATATTGCTTCTAAAATAAAAAGAATAAGGTGCTATAATAATTTACGATAATTAATCGACGGTAGAATTAGAAAGTTTTAAAAAGGTGATCCAATAAATCAAATAACGTCAGTTTAATTAATTAAAAAAAAAATAATTAAAATCTTATAACAACATATAAGAATTGCTATTATATATTAACAATTACTAAATGTAAAATGTTAAAAATTATTTATCGTAACTTTAAACTTTGCGTTATATATTTTTCATAACTAAATTTTCGTAACTATATCTAATTAATTAAAATTAATTGAATAACCTATATTTGCTTTGTATTTATCTTTTTAAAGCTTAATTTGGAATTATAACTCAAAAACTATCAAACTATTCAACATTTTTGTTAACAAAAATTAATTCTAGATTAAAATATAAAATATTATAAAATATTCGATTTTTTGAAATGAGGCATAGCAAGATATTCTGAGAACATGATTTTATTTCAGTTTTGTTAACTGTTAATTTTATTCAACATTTGCATATATTAAAATATTCTGTACTTTACTAAGAATAATACTGTTAGTACATACACAATTTTCAGGATAATATGGAGGTTGTATCCATATATTATCTTCAATTAATAAATTATCATTTTCCTCTCTAACTGGAAATCGATTGTCCAGTAACAACTGCATAACAATGTTCTTTCTTTCAGTAAGCGCCATCCTTGAAAGTTTTGCAGATGAAGATACAAACAATTCTGGCACTAATTTTTTGGCTTCCAATGTTGCCTTCATATCCTTGATTGCATGATTGAATATTATTTTTTAAACTAATATTGCGAGGATGATTTTGTACTGCAAAAGTAACAACAACTGTAAATAAACACACACATGTATATATGTATATATATATATATATATATATTATATACAATTAAATAGTTAAAATTAACATTTTCAAAAATGAAAAATCATGTCATAATTATATTATAAAATATACAAGCTATTTTAAAAATAAGTGACCAAGTTTTGAGACTTATATTATATTCATCAGAATGAATAAGAAAAGAATATGTAAAGAATATGCATTTGGAAGCTTTCCTTTTTAAATTATAAACATTTCGATTTACAGGTTTTTTTTTACAAATCTATAATAGTCAGTATATTATTGATAATATTATTAGACATATATTAATATTTTATTTTTAGCTTCTTGAAATTATTTTATTTCTATTTTTCACTTTTCTATTTTTCTCATAATATGATTTTAAAGATAAAATCAAGATCAAGATCAAGTAGCAGTTTAATTTAATTCATTATCAAGGTTTTTAATTTCATTATTAACTTCTTCACTATAGTATCACATCTAAATTCTGACATCGTGACATATTATATTAGTTTTGGAGCTCATTTTATATTACAAAAAAATTATTACAAAATACGAAACAATATTATAAAAATTGCTATCTTATCTGATAGAAGATATTTTTTAGTTATTTATTTAGGTTATATTTATGTTTTTATTTTCATATTTAGCTTTTATTTGAAAAATATGATTTAAAAACAAAATGGCATGATATTAGCTTTCCTCTGTAAATAAAAAATAAGACACAATTACATCTGCTTAACTTAAGCAGATATAAACAGTTGATTTTAAATTAGTTTAAACAAAGTTTTAAATTTAGTTTAGAATTGGGTGTATTTAATATAATTTTATTATACATTCAATCACAAATAAATTTCAATGCTTTTTCTAACCTTTCTGATACTGGATCAATCGTATAAATAATACCACAGTGAGTATTTTTGTCCTTCAGTATTATCTGAACTTCTTTTCCGATATAATTATCAAATAGAATCGGATTGTTTTTATATACCTGATGTGAAAAATTTAAATCATTTTTTAGCATACTCATATCAGAGATCATAAAAAATATAAATAAAATTGAAATATAGGCTATTTGTTTTCTGTTATTGGACTGCACTAAACTTTTTAATTCTCTATTCTTTCTTTTCAAACTTTAAATATATGGTTGCATTTCGATATTCACTGCTAATACTGAAAATATGATAGTCACATAGATTATAGATTTTCAATACTGAATAATGAATATCGAAACGCAATCTTAAGCTGGATGCACAATGAAAAACACAGGTAACAGGAATAGGGAACAGGCAACAGGCAACAGATTTCGACTAATCGGAAATATCTCCGATATTCTTCGCAGCTTCTGATTGGTCGAAATTTATTGCTTGTTCCCTATTCTTTATTCCTGTATCTTTTCATTGGGTGCTTTCCATTTAGTGACACAATCGACACAAGTATCATTTTGTCCTTGTTAATCATTGAAAGCCGAGAAAGATAGAACGATACTTGTATGGGTGACGTTTGATCACATCCCAATTGAGCCACTCACAGGGGCCTAGAATTTTTCCACTGTTCAAGCGCTGTGAATGGCTAGTGATCAATCGGGACGTGGTCAAACGAATCTCACCTTACTTGTGTCGACTTGTGTCACTAAATGCACCCATTGTATCTCAAGTGTCATTCTACAATAAGCCACAAGTGATACCATACTTCAAAAATTTCGCCTGTTCTTTTTGACTGAACTGATTGTACTAGTTCACAGTTTATCTTTCTTTCTTAAAAAAGAAAGATAAACTCTGAACTAGTGCAGCCAGCTAAAAAGAACAGACCCATTAACTTTCATAAGATCTGCTCTTTTTAGCTGAACTGGCTGCACTAGAGTTCAGAGTTTATCTGTCCAGTTCAGCCAAAGAGAATAGTATTGGTAATGAGTGTCGAGATATAGTTTGTATAATTATCATAGAAATATTGTGACGGATTAAAATTGATAAATTTGCAAAAAAATTTTTTTGCGTACAAACTGATATTGCTTAATTTACTACAGCGAAGTTGAATTCATCAGAAAAATGAAAAAATTAACTTGAAAAGTCTGCATATACATAACCTATATAATATGTAGACATTGAAGGAATAATGTTTAAAAAAACATTTAAGACATAGTAAAAGAATGAATAAGGCACCTATAAACTAAATATTTTTAGTTTATAGATTTTCATCATGATATTAATGATAATGTATTTATTCAATTTTGTTTAGGCTAGCAATATTTAAGAGCAATAGTTTGGAAAGTTTGGAAAATTATGATCTTGTTACTATGACAAGAATAATTATTAATAATCTATATGTAGTGAGTAATTAATTATTAAATTATTAAAACTAATATTGCGATTAAATTATGAGTTTTATTGAAGAAGTCCATTTATTTTAGATTTTGAGAACTATATTCGTAGTAAATACATATAATAGAAAATAAATTTAGAAAATAAAACTTATTGCTTAGTTATAGAAATATTATGTGTAATATGGACTTTAAATGAAATGTATCAATAAAACTGCTTAATAATATAATTAAATCAGTAATACAGTCAATTAATATTTTACAATCTTGCATGATTACTATTGCTATTGATAATCTACTATTGATAACTATTTCAGCTTAGTTTTATATTTATTATCTAATCTATATAATCTAGAAACAATATACTATATAATATAGAATATAGAAAATAGAAAATCTATATAATATAGACAATAGATACATTAAAATTCTTAAAAATGCAAACAATATAAAAATATATAGTATAACATTATACTGTGATATTTATTACTACGAACCTATACTGATAGGATATCTTTTTACATAATTAGTATTATTATCAATATCTCTATATCGCACAGTAATTCTGATGTTTGAGAATCAATCAATCTGGATTTCTCATTGTCAATATTTTATATCAGTCCATCAATATTAAAATATTACATAGAATCAATAATATTATCAGTATTTGTGACACTATCTTAATATTTAATAATTTTCATGGACCTTACACAGTTAATAATACTATAATAATGATTATATAAAAGGTTCATATATATAAAATGATGCCTATTAGGATTGTGAAGCCAGTTATAATAATTTTTATATATGCAAAAAGCATACAGCTTTAGATAGAAAACTATAAATTTTATTTTTTATTTTGCAACAAATAAAAGAATAAAGTATGAATTTTATTTTACAGGGAAAATAGCAAACTTATCTAAAATTGTATTATTAATTAGTTTATTAAATAATTCTATAATATAATAATTTTATATACAATTTAATGTAAAAATATTGTTTTTTTCATAATGTAACAATTATTTTCACAATATTTTTAGTGAAACAGAATCAAATATTAAAATTGAAACAAAA